CCTCTGCTTCCTTGAATGCTGGGATCTCAGGCATGTGCCACGGTGCCCAGCAATCAAATTGATTTTTGAGAATAATTTTATTACATGTTCCCTAAATCTTATTTGTGTATGTATCTATGTGTCTGCAGGTAGAGGTCAGAGGTTTGTAACATGATGGCAGTCAAGTAGTCTAAGCACTTCCTCTTCCCAATGAAGCTATTCCCGTGGCCGTCAGACCTACTTTTTTGGGGCCTGGAAATAGGCTGCTCTTTCCTCTTGGCATATGGGATCATGCCTATGTCATCTGAAGGGTCACTTGCTTTGGAACATTCTGTTTCCTGTGCCTCAGGAAACTTGCCTGGTTTACCCAGTGACTTTGAAAAAAATTGTATTTTTTTGAGTATGATTTTTAAAAATTACCTCCACAAGGACAAAATATATCAGGGCACAGGGAGCCTCTATGAGACTGTTTCTCCAACCAAGGACCATGTATGGATATAACCTAGAACCTCTGCTCGGATGTAGCCCATGGTAGCTCAGTAACCAAGTGGGTTTCCCTAGTAAGGGGAACAGGAACTATTTCTGACATGAACTCAACAACTGGCTCCTATACCCCCCACCCCCTGAGGGAGAAACAGTCTTGCTAGGACACAGAGCAGGACATTTGAGCAGTCCTGAAGATACCTGATAAGCTAGGGTCAGATGAAAGGGGAGGAGGACCTCCCCTATCAGTGGACTTGGAAAGGGACAGGGAGGAGATGAGGGAGGGTGGGATTGGGAGGGAATGAGGGATGGGGCTATGGCTGGGATATAAAGTAAATAACCTGTGATTAATATAAATATAAATAATAAAAATAAAAATTAATAATAATAAAAGTACCTTAGCTGCAGGGTATCGAGGCAGATGCTGAGACTCATAGCCAAACTTTGGGCAGAGTTCAGGGAATCTTATGAAAGAAGGGGGAGATAGTAAGACCGGGACAGGACAGGAACTCCACAAAGAGAGCAACAGATCCAAAAAGTCTGGGCACAAGGTTCTTTTCTGAGACTGATACTGCAGCCAATGACCACTCATGGAGATGGCCTGGAACCCCTGCACAGAGGTAGCCCATGGCAGTTCAGTGTCCAAGTGCGTTCCATAGCAATGGGGACAGGGACTGTTTCTGAAAGGAACTGATTGGCCTGCTCTTTGATCACCTCCCCCTAAGGGGGGAAGCAGCCTAACCAGGCCACAGAGGAAGACAATGCAGCCACTCTAGATGAGACCTAATAGAATAAGATCAGAGGGAAGGGGAGGAGGACCTTCCTTATCAGTGGACTGGGGGAGGGGTTCAGGTGGAGAAGAGGGAAGGAGGGTAGGATTGGGAGGGGAGGAGGGAGGAAGCTACGGGGGAGGAGGGAATAAGTGAATAAGCTGTATATAATAAAATAATTTTAAAAAGATGACACACACAAAATAAACCATCAGAATGCTTTAAAAAAATAAAAAATAAAAAAAAATTACCTTAGGGGCTGGAGAGGTAAATATGTGGTTAAAAGCATTTTTTGCTCTTACAGAGGACCTGGGCTCAATTTTCAGTACCCACCTAGTGGATCACAACTAACTGTTACACCATATTCAGGGGATTCATACACCATCTTTTGGCCTCTGCAGGTACCAGGCATGTACAAGGTACACAGACCTACTGTAGGCAAAACACTCATACACATAAAATAAAAATAATAACACACAACTAAATAAAAATGATCTTAACCCTAAGATAAAGTATGGAGCTATGAAATTAGGTTGGAAATAATTTTTTCTTCTAAAATATAAAAATTAGGTCCATTTCGTTTTCTTGTTTGTCTGTTGAGAATGTGTACATGTGTGTGCATGCTTGTGTGTGTCTAAACCAAAGGTCAGTGTCTGCTGTTTTTCCTCTTTATTTCTTGGCCTTATTTATTCATTTTGAGACAAGATCACTTTCTTACCCTGGGGCTTGCTGGCAAGCCAAATGCCAGGACCCTCCTGTTTCCACACCCTTAGAACTGGAATTACGAGCATGACACTAAGCCTGGCTTTAATTTACTTTAATTTTTTAATGTGAGCTCTAGGGGCTCAAGCTCAAGTACTCACAATTGTGAGGTGAATACTTTGCGTGTCAGTCATCACTCACATTTACAGTGGGTCTTCCCACTGCAGTTAACCTAGTCTAGATCACCTTTCATAGACACGCCCAAAGATTTATCTCCAAGGTGAGTCTAGATAGTCAAGCTGCTAATCAGTATATCATCACAATTTTATCTGTTGTCAATTTGACACTCAAACATATAGCTTTTAAGCCACAATTTTCTGCTCCTTGTCTTCATAGGCTTATTATCAACTCACAATGGAAAACATTATGATTTTAAAAGTCTTATAATCATCAATAGCCTGGCCCAGCATTGTTCCATATTTACCTCTAAAGCTCAAGATGTCTTAACTGTGACTCCCTTTAAAATCAAAAGACAAATTACACATTTTATACATACACAGGCGTAAATGAACACTCCCATTCCAATAGGGAGGGAAAGGGATGTAACAAGAAAAGCCCAAACCAAAGCAAAAGAAAAAACCCAGCATGCAAACACGAATTGCTGAAGCTCCATATCCAGGGTCTGAGCTCTGTGATGGTGCCATTGCATTCCACAGTGCTTAGGCAGCCCCACCTCCACAGCTTGGCCACAGGTAGCACACAGACCCTCCTTCTCTCCTTTTAAATTAATTTATTATTTTTTAAGTTTTATTTTTATGTGTATTGGTATTTTGCCTGCATGTATGAGGGTGCCAGAATCCCTGGAACTGGAGACTAGAGTTGTAGAGATGTGGGTGCTAGGAGTTAAACCCCGGTCCTCTGGAAGAGCAGCCGGAGCTTTTAACCACCAAGCCATCTCCTTAGAACCATAGCTGCTTTCTTAAACCAGCTCTATTTTCATATTTGAAGCTTCCCTTCAAGTCTACATGCAATGGCCTCGCAGGACCTTCTTGCAGAGATTTTAATCCTGTTGCACATTGCTTGGCTTCAGCAGCTCTCTGGAACTATGAAGCCAGACTCCATCACCCCCTCGATCTTGCAGCCTTCGTGCCTGTAAAACCAGCACCATGAGCTGCCAAGTTCTGCTGATAGCTCATGATAGAATGCATCTAATCCCCTTGAACCTCTGGTGACCTCTTTGTGTCTTGGTGGCTAAATCTGCAAAATAATTTTTCTAGGCATAACTCAGTTACTGTTTGATTGCCAAAGTTGACCAAGGCAACTTTTATTTTAAAAAGTATTTAATTGGGGGTGGGGTGGGGTTGGTTTTCAGTTTCAGAGGTTTAGTCTGTTGTCATCATGAGAGGGAGCATGACTGTAGGAATGCCTATGTTATTGGAGAAATAGCTCAGAACTACATCCTGGTTCACAGGCAGCAAGCAGAGAGAGAGAGAGAGACAGAGACAGAGACAGACAGATAGACACACACACACACACACACACATACACACACGGAGAGGGAGACAGAGAGATAGATACACACACAGAGAGAGCGAGACAGAGATAGAAACAGAGAGAGACAGAAACTGGACCTGGCATGGACTTTTGAAACCTCAAAGTTCATTCCCAGTGACAGAGCTCTTCCAACATGGCTATACCTCCTAATCCTTCCAAAACAGTGTACCAACTGGGAATTAAGCATGCAAATGTATGAGCATACTAGGGCCAGTGTCATCCAAGTCACCACAAGGCTGTTGTTTTTGAGCATGGAACCCCATCTAGAGCATTCTCAGTTCAGGTTTCTTCTTGCAAATACATTTGCATTTTTACAATTTGGAACCTTGGAGGGGATATGGCCTTACCTTTAGGGCACCTCTCCTATTGTCCCAGAAAGAGAATGAGTTTCCTCTTTAATAATTAAAGATTCTCTGTTGTCTGTGTGTTCTCTATTTGTCCACAACTTTAAACTTGTTCACACGCAGGGTGGTTTGAGTGAAAATGGCTCCCATATGCTGATAGGGAACAGCATTAGGAGGTGTGTCCTGGAGTAGGTGTGGCCTAGTGGAGGAAGTATGTCACTGAGGGAGGGTGCTGGTAGTGAGCTCTGAGGTTTCAGAAGCTTAAGCCAAGCCCAGTGTTGCTCTTCTTGTTGTTGCCAGATGATTCATCTCTTGGCTACCTCTTCATCATCACCACAACCGTCTGCATGCTGCCGTACTTCTTGCCATGATGATACTGGACTAAATTCTGAAATGGTAAGCCAGCCTGAATTAACTCTTTTCCTTTATATGAGTTTCTGTGGTCATGAAGTTTCTTCACAGCAACAGGATACTAATTTAAGACAAGTTCTTTTCCCCCTTGGAAACTTCACGAACTAGGCCTCTACTGTTTGTGTTTTCTGTAGAGGAATGTTAAATTCAGAACATATGGCACTCAACGTAGAAAACCCAAAGTGACTGAAAAAGAAGAAAGCCTACAAATACTGCAGAAACAGAGGAATTCTGACAGAAATATCACAAAGGACAGGAGACCTCTGATAGAAAGCTGCGGAGAAGAAATTTGCCTGGTATCATCTGCAGAGGAAGATTCAGTTCTTCGAGTTCCACTGGATGCCTACAGAGACTCCAGAGACCTCAGTGCAGCAGGAGGCTCAAGCCCAGAGCAAGGAATCATGCAGGGGCCTCTGAAACAGTGACTCACAGGAGGCCAACCCAAAAGACAATTTTAATTATATAGACAGACTTTTCCTGCATTAAAAATGGGAAACTCCACTTCAGATCCCTTGAGAAGAAGGGTAGGAGTTGAGGGGATAGAAACGTTACTTGAAAAAGCCATTTGCAATACTCATTGTGATTATGACCACTGGAGTAAACCCCTCTCTGCTGTCAATTGCAATCTTTATGTTTTTCCTTTCAAGGATGAAAAAATAGCTACAACACACAAAAAAAATTAGCTGTGATAATACAAAGGCTTGAGAGACAAGAGACAAAGGAACTAAGAGAACAGAAAATGCTTAATTGTGAACCTATGGTACCTAATGAAATTGAGGATCGAGAGAGACAGTCTATTGATAATGAACGGGTAAGAAGCCTGGCTTGCTGGACTGGAGCCCAGATGACTGGCATGGACATGGACATGGAATGAGAGTGGCTAAAAGTCTAGTTTATGTATGGATTTATAAAGATCTAATTGTACCTTGATAAACAGAAAGGGAATAAGAGTAGTTAAAAGACACTGGATTGTAAACTGGTCATGTTGGTGCATGCTTTTTAATTCCAGCACTCCAGGAGGCAGACAGGCAGAATGCTGTGAGTTTGAGGTCAGCCTGGTCTGCAAAATGAGTTTAGGACAGTCAAGGCTACACAGAGAAACCCTGTCTTGAAAAAAAAATAGAGAAGCTTCCAAATGAAAGGCATGACTCACGGAAGAGACTAAGAAAGCAGTTGCCTCTGGGTGGAGACAGCTTAACAAACCAGCTGAAGAGGGACAGATAGCTCATCAGACTGACAGAGTAGAAAACCTTGATGCTGAAATGGGCTGTTGCTGATGGACAGATGATCAGGACTGCAATAATGGAGGATCACTGCATCAATGGCTGCTCTGTGCTCAGCCTCCTTTCTCCTGCTTATGCAGTCCAGGGCTCCTGTCCAGGGCATAGTGCCATCTAATTTGGTTATATCTTCCCTCCTCAGTTACACTAATATAGAAACTCTCTCATGCATGTGCCCAGAGATTTGTATCATGATGATTTTCTTTTTCAACTTGGAAATCAATACAAATCATGACTCTTAGTATCCTAAGTCTTTTCTCTTAAGGTAGTTAGACTCTACGAAGACCTTTCTTCCAATTTAAAGATCTGATTGCTGGAATTTTGGAAGGCAAATAGGAAAGAGGGGTTGAGTTGGGTGGTAGGGGTCTCAATGTGTAGTATTATATACTAACTAAATCTACATTTTCAGTATAATTCTACCTCTCAATGGTTACGTGTAGCTATCAGTTCAAAACTTCTCATGTGATGCAGAGACAAATACATCACTCTTCTCTGATTGGAGCAGAGATGAATCTCTTGTCTGAAAAAAGCAGAAGAAAATCTCTGATGATTTGAGTGATCCTCCCTTTCTGCCACACATACCATTTTATTATGAATATTGTCATACATCTATAAACTTCATTGGAAGATTTATAACAAATACCGATATGCTTACCACCTAAATTCTATTATTAATTTTACTATTCTTGCTTTATCAAATAGCTATCCACCTATATCTTTATTGTATATCAGCTAACTAATATTCTCATTTTTGATGCATTTAAAAGTAAACTGTAAGCAGCAGGGCTTTCCCTATGAAATACTTAGATATACATTCCATTAAGTAGAACTCAATATATTTTTTTTCAGTTCCCACCATTTGCCTGCATATTTCATCATTTCCTTGTTTTTCTTTTTTTATCACTGAGTAATATTCCATTGTGTAGATGTACCACAATTTCTGTATCCATTCTTCCATTGAGGGGCATCTGGGCTGTTTCCAGCTTCTGGCTATTACAAATAAAGCTGCTACAAACATGGTTGAGCAAATGTCCTTGTTGTGTACTTAAGCATATTTTGGATATATGCCTAGGAGTGGTATAGCTGGATCTTGAGGAAGCACTATTCCTAATTGTCTGAGAAAACCCAGAATTGCTAAAACATTCCTTTACAATAAAAGATCTTCTGGCGGTATTTCCATCTCTGATCTCAGGCTGTACTATAGAGCAACAGTAAAAAAATCTGCATGGTCCTGGCATAGAAACAGAATGGTGGATCAATGGAATTGGATAGAAGACCCAGAAATAAACCCACACACTTATGGACACCTGATTTTTGACAAAGATGCCAAAACCATACAATGGAAAAAAAAGACAGCATCTTCAACAAATGGTGCTGGTTTAACTGGATGTCTACATGTAGAAAAATGAAAATAGATCCATACTTATCACCCTGCACAAAACTGAAGTCTAAGTGGATCAAAGACCTCAACATAAAACCAGACACACTAAACCGCTTAGAAGAAAAATGGGGAAGAGCCTGGAACTAATTGGCACAGGAGACAATTTCCTGAACTCAATACCAACAGCACAGGCTCTAAGAACAACAATCAATAAATGGGACCTCACGAAACTGAAAACTTCTGTAAAGCAAAGGACACTGTCATCAAAACAAAGCGACTGCCTACAGATTGGGAAAGGATCTTCACCAACCCTGTATCTGACAGAGGGCTAATATCCCGTATGTGTAAAGAACTCAAGAAGTTAAACAGCAACAAATCAAGTAATCTAATTAAAAAGTGGGGTACAGAGCTAAACAGGGAACTCTCAATAGAGGAATATGGAATGGCAGAGAAACACTTAAAGAAATGTTCAACATCCTTAGTCATCAGGGAGATGCAAATCAAAATGATCCTGAGATTTCACCTTACATCCATCAGAATGGCTAAGATCAAAAACTCAAGTGACAACACATGCTGGAGAGGATAAGGAGAAAGGGGAACCCTCCTCCACTGCTGGTGGGAATGTAAATTTGATTGCTTCTTGAACAGACTCCTAGGAAATCTTTCAAATCTCCTTCTTTTTTTTTAAATTTTATTTTTCTTATTAGTTACATTTTGTTAACTCTGTGTCCCAGCTGTATCCCGCTCTCTCACTCCCTCCCCAACCCCACACTCCCTCCCTGGTCTCCTCCCTGCCCCTTTCCAAATCCACTGATAGGGGAGGACCTCCTCCCTTTCATTTGACCCTGTTTTATCAGGTATCTTCAGGGCTGGCTGCAAAGTCTTCCTCTCTGGCCTAACAGGACTGCTCCTCTCCTGGGGGGGGGGGGCGGTGAGGCAGTCAAAGAGCCTGCTCTTGAGATCCTGTTAGAAATAGTCCTTGTTCCCCTTACTTTGGAAAACTACTTGGTTACTGAGTGAATTGAACGTATGACAGGAGTCTACTGCAAAAGGCATCTGAAAGACTCTAACTAGCAGTGTTTCAAAGCAGACACTAAGACTCAAATCTCCTTCTTTACTTACACTTTTAGAGGCACTTGAAGCAGGTACTAGTTCTAGCAAATTGGGGAATTTCACAGTGGAATCTATTTTGTTTCATTCTTAGCCTCCTTCCACTTTAAATGTGTTCAACTGTCTCTGGCTAAATCACTCCTTGACCCTTTTCTATTAAATTCCTGCTTGCAAAATTTTTATCCTATTGTCTCTTTCCCCGTCTTCTTGTTAATTTATGCCTAAAGGCTAAAACCAGTAAACAAATAAATAACAACAACAACAGCAACACATTATTGCTTTAGTAGAGTTTTGGAACTAGGGAATATTTATGCTTGTAGGTTTACCTGGAAGTGCCTTTAAGAACAAGTGTGAAGGTGTTGGGTCGTAAATTATTATTTGACATAAAGGCTATGGAATGATAAATGCTGTCTAGGACACATTAATGGCATGAAATGATTGATGGACTTGATTCATCATTCTGGCATGCCATATGAGTTGACTCAGTGGGGTTAATTCTAGGTGACATTCTATATGGGAAAGCCCAATACATGCTCTGAACTCTATGCCGAGATAACTGCAAAAACATACAGATAACAAACGTGCTCAAATCAACTTCTTAGTTTAGCTCCACAGATTGCTTCAGCTGCTCCATTTCTATGCACACAAGGAAGGTGAACCAGAAGAAGACCAAAGGTGGGGTCTGGAAAATCATGAGTTTGGTGTTATTCTATGTTTATAGCCTTTCTGAAGAAGAATTATGAGCGTTAGCTGATAATTATGTGTAGAGAGGTAAAGAAAAGAAAATCCCAATTTCAGTGAGATTAGAAAAATTTCCTTTCCTTTTCCGGGTCATAGTTTGTTTTCAAAGGTAGCGTTTGGTGGTGTACATGTACATTTGTAGAAAAAGGTGGTGAGGGTGGGGCTGTCCAAAGTGAGGACACTAAGTGCTCAGCGTATGTCCTTCTGTCCTGTAGTCTACAGTTTCCTGAAGAAGGCATGTGACTCTATTTTTATTTTTTAAAAAGATTCTATTTTATTCTAATAGTCTGTGTTTCTCTGGTTATCTATAAAGACGTCATTGAAAATTCTTGCACAAGGAATAACTCATGATTCAGTTCTCTGGAGGAAGCAAACAGATTTGTATCCAAAGTCATTAGCTTGTTGACATGAGTGAGTCTCTTTGTAATCCTTCAGACTTTGCATTTTTCCTTTATTAAGAAATAGCTTCTTAAGCCAAAGATCTAAGAGGACCTGACCAAAGCAGTATCTTCTGGACATGAAAGGACTGCTGAACTGCTGAACTCACAGTAGCTGTGCTTGCCTTCGCCTGAGTATTGCCAGATCAAGAGAGCCAGTATTTTAGAGCGGAGGGGAGAGGGGCTCATGAGCCTTCACCCCTGGCTTAGGAGGAATTAGCAGTTGATGGTTTCTGGGGAAAGAGAGCCAGTTTTCTTTTAAGGGTTAGGCCCCTCATAAGCTGACGATGCTACACTGGATAGTCCCATACTCTGGAGTATATGTGCAGTACAAAGTGGACACTTAGCTTTTTTTTTTTTTTTTTAGAAAGGCATGTGAAGTTGAGAGGGGATGGGAAGAGAAGAGGTAGGTCTGGGAGGAATTTGGGGAGGAGTAGGAGTGAATATGATCAAAATACATTTCATGAAATTCTCAAAAAATTAATAAAAATATTTAAAGAATAAAAGAAAGAACATCTTGAAACATTCTAGCAATAGGAAAACAACTCCTTCAAAGGCAATCTTAGCCTTGAAAAAGATTTTGGTGTGTTGTCGAAAAGATTTATTTTTGGTAACAAATTGAGTGTAATTTCCAAGTTCTGGAACACTGAGCTAATATCTGCAACTTTTTAACTCTCTGTTCCTTTATAAAATAGGAATGTGAAAGGGCAGCCTTGCACATTAAATACCATGTGAATTATCAGAGACGTCTAAATGTCCAGCATTTAGTGTTGGCCTCATGTTCAGAGTGTCTCACTCTCATCTTGAAATCAGAGTATTTCATGAGGCTGACACTTTTGATCCTTGAAGGTACTAGCCTAGA